CATTGCGCCACCCGGCGTACTAGCTGCCACCTCGTGCGGTGGTGCATCGTCGCCAACGAGCTCACCAGTCGAGTGTCCTGGTCGAATAGAATACCGCCATGGTACCTCGACGTGGTGATGGTCAAGCAACTCTATTCCTGTCTCAACTCTCCGACATGTGCGAGAGACATTATCGACCATACGTGGAGTCACAGTGTGACATGGCGAGGACGCCGCGAACAGCGAAACCAGCAACGACGACAGGGAGAGGACGAGCTCGAGATGTTCGGACATACCATTGAATGCGCGTTGATAAGATCGATTTCCCTTCACGATGCACGAGCATCCGCTGCGCACACTCCGAAACGGAGGTCGTGTGTATCATTTCGTTAGGGAGTGGCGAGGAGTGAGCCCCAATCGTGCGTGTCCACGATTCTCTTGGGGAAAAGCGGCAGGTTCGCATGTAGGCTGTGTCACTCTTAGACGTCTGATGCCCTTTCACGACCTGAAAAAGCATCTGAAGTACGCAGCGTGTCGCCACGACGCAACCGTATGGGACATTTCTGAGCCTGCCTATCGTGATTGCACGTAGTTTATCCAGTCATGACGGGGCTACTGTGGGGCAGTTGCGACACGGTGCATGTTGCGGTGCATGGGGTTAGACACCGCATCGGACCATGATGCGTGGCCCACAACCGTCATTTTACATTTCCGCTGCCATGAAGTTTCTTGCCGGTCTTGTCCACGTCGCCGTCGCGTCCCAAGTCGTGTTCGACAGCCGCGACCCCCTCGCCAAGGGTGCCTTGGGCACCCCCGTCTCGAGAAAACACGGCGCTGCCGTGCAATTCCGCACCCCCTCAGCCGCGGAAGCCGCGTGCGGTGCGGCGGGGCTCACCGTCGACCATGTCACCTTTACGGTAGACACGTCCAACATGGGCGAGGACCCGTCGTTGTGGCTGCAAGTCGACTTATGCCCTTCTGTCAACGGTGCGGAACTACTTTGAAGAGGGCATCGCATGTGGGGGCTCATGGTTGACTTGTAGACATGCCCAACTGCACCAAGTCCGACAAGTCTGCCCGCATCCCCATTGACAGGTTCGCCAAGCGAGTCCCGTTTGAATGGTTCCCTGCCTCACCGATCGTCCTGGATCCGCTGACCTCGTACTGGTTCACCGTCCTCTCGAACGGGGAAAACGAGAAAATGTTGCCGATGTGGATGGACGGCGCCAAGGAGTTTACCTCCATCAACGACCCCGATGACTACGTCTTGACCGCGTACACGAAAGGCGGCTCCTGGTATGTCAACGCCCCCTTTGGAGACCGCACCGTGCCGTCGATGCAAGTATACACCAACTAAACTAAATACTATCCTTCGTTGTGGGTGTAAGTTCCGAACGACGTCGAACACGAACGACATGGATCGCGGACCCTTCAGGTACTCATCAGTGGGGGGGGTCCAGTCGTCAAACTGGTTGTCGAACGACTGGTTGGTGGACTCGACTACTTTGACGCCTACTTGATGTACTTCGGCTTGGATTTCTTCGTCGTCGGCTGCAGCTTGGCGACGACTGGCTCGGGCACATTGACACGTCTCAGTTTTTTGCCGTTCACAAGGGGAGTAGGATCTTGCGCATAGCATGCCATGGCCTGGCGCTCACTGCTGAACACACTGCTTATGGTGGCCACGATGGGCCTGCCGCGTCTCGGTGGACGCGCCTTGCTGCATTCCAATTGTACGCGTGAAGGTCACGACAAGGATCCCTGTTGATGGAGCTGCTTGACCGAATGGCAACCCCGGCAGCTTGGCATAGCTCTTCATTTTGGGCATCGGAGTCACAATGGCGACGTGGGGCTGTCGCTTGCGGACTGGTGTCTCATGCGGCTTTGGAGTCGCCGGTGGTGCATCCACCGTCTTAGGGCCCTGCCTGCCTTCGCGTCTCGAGGTCCTGGCACTCGCGGAGCTTGGCGACGTTTATTCGCTCTTTGGCCTCTTGTTCCCTTTGGACTTTGAGCTGCCGAAGCTTTTGCTGTCGCGCCTCGAGTGCTTGCTTCAGCTGTAGCAACACGTTCACTCGCAGGTAGAGCATCCGGCACGTCCAACTATCCGGATTTGACCTTTCAAGATCGCGGGCGACGTTGCCGCCAGGACGGACCGATGTCGCAAGTCCACTTGATATGCAGCGAAGCGGCGGCAACGCTGCGAGAGCTCTTGCTCACGGCGGTGCAACGCGGTATATCCGTGGAGGACTCATTCGGTCATTTCGACCCCATCGGCGATGGTGTTGTGGACTTGACCCAGTTCATTCAAGGGCTGAGAACTCTGGGGATCCCACTGCGAGTGGAAGCGGCAAGCATGTTGCTCCGCCAGCTCTCAGACACCAGCACAACGCATCTTACTGTGCAGGACTTTCATCGGCTATGCGTGCAGGTGGGTCGCTCGATTCCACTCCAACGTTTGCGATCTCATGAAACTCTCTCATCGTCGTCGACACTAGCTGCCAAAGCGGCAGAAGAAAAAAGGGCCGCCGACTTCAAACGCCAAGCGATACAAAGTATCCAGCGACTGCGCACCCATCAGTCCGGCACAACAGCCATCGACAGAGGAGCGTGTAGCCCAAGCGCAAGGCCTCCCTGAATGGGCCCACGACCGCAGCAAACGCGCGTTGAAAGATCTTCAAGCATTGTCCAAGCACCGCAAACAACAATTGCGACAGGTGCCGTGCGACGATTTTAGCGATCCCATGAGCGACGATGACGACGAAATCGACGGCGAATCTGGCCAAGGCAGTGGACACAACGGTGGTTCGTCCACCTCCGTGGTGGCTCCACCGTCGTCGATGCTTCCGCCGACACCGCTGCCAGAGACGACCACCGACGACCGCCCGCAATATCAGGTGTTTTCCGTCTCGGATCAAGTGGCATTACGGTATCGTCCCATGCAGCGATTGCCTCGTACCCGAGGCGTTTGACTAGATATGCCATCTTGACGGCTCCCGTGGACTTCGTGGACGCGACCATGCAATCGTCGGGAGAAGATCAAGCCGTGGAACACAGCAAAGTGTCGCGGCATGTGCGCACGCCCAAGTCCCAACTCCGTCTCAAGTTGATCATCGTGGCAGACGTGTTTCAAACGCTGGACGCGATCGACGCATGGCTCGTGTCGGTCTTTCAAGTCTATGCATCGGCAAAAGTGCTCGTGATCGGGCACCCCAGCCGCATGGATAGCCCCACCACCGGTATAAAACCCCCTTCCCTTCAGGCGATCGTTGACGTGGTGTTCGCTATGATAGTCGTCAACAATGCGACTTTGGCGGCCTGGATGGGGCAGTTGCTCACACATCTGGACCACGCCCGCGAATGGATGGCCCAGCCCAAGTATGGCACGGGTGCCACCCCCCATATCTTGGTCGGATTCGGGTCGGGCGCGTCTGTTGCAGCTCACTTCACGCTGGTGGGTCCACCAAAACTGGTGGCGTCCTCACAGAGGCTGTGTATGTTTGTGCAGATTACAGCGCCGCAACAACCAAAGCTGCACGTCCTCAACCAAGCGCTGCATGCGCTGGTGCTGGTCAACGGCTTTTGCTGCACGGAAGGCATCAAAGCAAAGATCCAGCAGGTTCGCGTCCATGTTGGTGGAGTTCCGTGATCACGAAAGTGCGGGCGTGCCCGTAGCTCTTGCATGGGCTGCAGTCGTCGAAACATCCTACCGAGTACCATCAACAGCTCGCAGCGATGCTGTTCAGCGACAGCTACTTGAACCGAGCGTCGAGAAATCAAGCATTCATCGACTTTTTCCAGCACCGGCGTGGATTCTTCGATGAGTCGACGAAGCGGTTGTGGGTCGTGCTGCTAAAGGGTGTGCTCAAACACGTTGACCTGCGGCCCGTGTTGAGGTATTCCTGCCCATCCATGCCGGCCACGTAGTTTACGAGCTCGAGTAGCAACCTGCACATTCCACTTTTTGCCGTCCATGGCAGCGATAACGGGTGGATTCCGCCGGCCCAAGTGTCGTACTTTCAAGACAAACGGCAGCTCGCCCTGTCGTTTAATGACGCAATGAAGTCGTCCGGTGGCCTCATTCATGTATCGTGGCTCAAGGCCGGTCATGAGTTGCTTCAAGAGCGACCGGCATTTTTCCCCCAATTTCTCGACCAGGTCGTGACAGCGGCGCATGTCGCGATTCAGCAGCACGCATCACCCACGCCAGACGATGCAGACGTCGAGATTTCACCCTCCAGCGGCCGCAACGCATCGGCCAAGTCGACTGACGTGGCAAGCCGGCTAACCGACGGCAGCGACGACGACGAACTGAGACTGAACCAGGCTACGACCGACGGCACCCCCAACACCACCGTCACGCCACAACTGGTGCTTCAGCGGCAATGAGTTGGGTTCGACTACTGACAGGGATGCTGCCCGATGGCTTTCGTAGTTGCCGCAAGTCCAAGAACTATACGCGACAGTAGGTTTGAAAGGAATCCGGCAAGAGCTGATCGATCGCGACATTGATGTTCCATTGGGAAACGACGATCAAGTGATGTGGATGCTCCATCAAGCACTTGTGGCGGAGGCGCAGGCGGCTCGAGCCGCCGAAGCCAAGACAATCGCGAGAAAAGAGCTCGAGCGTCAGCACGAGCTGCAACTTGGGCGGCAGGAAGACGAAAAGCGGCAGAAGAAGTTGCGGTAGCAGTGTCTGCATCCATATACTTAAGCTACAACTATCGCAATGCTTCAGGGAGCAAGCCCGCCAACAAGCTCGGTTTCAGAAAGACGCGATGGCGTTCAAGGCAAGGGAAGCGGCCCGCCTGGAGCAACAAGCCCACGCGCAGGCAGAGTGGGCCGAGCGAAGTGCAATGGAGGCAAATGACCAGTACAGTCGCCGCCGCGAGGCCCATGACGCCAAGGTACTGTCCCTGATGCCCCGACCAACCCATTCGACCCGTGATGGTCATGTTGTGGGTGAAGCTGCTGCAGTGGCGCGATACCAACACGAACGCGCTCTCGACGGTGGAGGCGCTGAATGAAGAGCGAGAGGAGCGGCAGGCGGAACAGGTTTTGAAGAATCCGAGTGCCATCAGCGCACACGATTTACTACTGCTTGCAGGCGGCTATTCAACAAGGGCTCGATCGGGCAGCGCATCGCGTCGAGCTGGAGGCGAATCTGTGGACGTTGCAACGGCAGGCATGTGCAGGCCAATTCGATCAGCTTGACACCGTCAACGTGTGGGTAGATGGAAGCGAGTCAGGTGACCTTGCGCGGCGATACTGAGGGGTACAGTTAGCTCTTCACGCTAGCACTCCACAGCATCTTGTTAGGTATGGCTTGGACGGGCCGATTCGGAGCAGCGAGATCCCCGCCGTCGTTCGCGGAATCCAGTGCCTGATCGAAGACGTCACAGCGATTCGCGCTCAGAAGTGCACGTCCATCGCGCAACAAGCGGCGAGCCAGGCAAAGCAGCGGGCAATCCAAGCTGCCCTCGATGACACCAATCGCATGCACTCCAACTTGCTGCGGGTATCTGGCATGATGGATCTGCTTTCACGACGGTGATCTCGAACGTTGTGGGGCTCTCGCAGGTACTCCAACGTGCTGAGGACGAAAAGGTGATTGCCAAACCAGACGCGGGCGGGACCGTCCGATTGGTTCCAGCGACGGCGCAGGGGATGCGCCTCCTGCGCGATAAACTCAACTCATTGCACCAAGAGGTATGCATGGCGGCCGCCGTTCGAATCCAAGCGCTGATGCTGCTGTCCACCCGATGCAGATGGCGAACTTGACGTCGGTCGCGGCCGCTGCAACTACCGAGGTTCGTAAAGCGGTACAGCTACAAAGGACGAGTCACTTGGATGGCATGGGTAGGTGGCAATGTTTGATCGTATGATGCAGAGCTTGGCGGTGCTACAGAAGCGCACGGATGCCGCGATGGGGGCGCTGCAGACCAAGGCGAAGGCCATTCTTGCCGAAGCGAACGAAGTTCTCGCGGTGCTTCGGGTACCATGAAAATAAAGACACTTGGAACGCTGTGGCGAATGTGGTGTCACTTTTGTTGCAGGAAGAACAGGAAAGGGAAGCAGTGGCCGATGCCAAGCGCCTCACAGCCATCCATTCCACCGAAGCACGAGTTCAAACGATCGAGATCGAGCTCAAGCGCGTTGAAACATTAACGACGCCGTTCATCGACACCGACGTGTATATTGCAGGTTCTCAACTCCTACGCCATGCACACATGAATGGATGATTACGTGCCAGGCGCGCCCCAGCGTGTCGATCGGCACATTTTGTCGTCGAACTTGCGAGCGGAGCGAGGGAGACTGCAAGAATCGCTGGACGTTCTCCGAGCCGAAGCGGTCACGGCCAAAGCGGGCCGAATGACGATGCGCGCCCAAGGCATCACACTCACAAATGACCTGGTATCGCTTTTGAAGGCAGAGACAATGTTGGGTGCCGTAATCGCAGAGGACCAGCCCACTCAAGCGACTCCTCTCGTGAGTGCGGTTTGGTTTTGGCCCAGTACACCCTTAGCAATCTCTTTCCACAGGGCGTCCCTATTACAAACAGCGCGTCGCAGCCATCCAATTTTCCCACCCAACCGCCACATGCACCGCCGTCCATGGCAGTCATTCGGGCGAAGGGCGTGCACGACCGCGCCGTCGACGAAATGCAATGGGTGGCCCTCGACCGACTGGTCTCCCCCGAGCACTACCTGTCGTTGCCCGAACAAGATATTGAAGAAATGCGGCGCAACCCACACTACCAAACGTCCCTGACCGCGGCGCATGTCCAGCGCTTGCTTCAGCTCCCCGAGCGCATCAATCTGGCACTACCGTTCCTAAAATCGTCGGCAGAAATCCACGCGCACAAACTACTTCGCCAGTACACGAAAGGCGACGGAGAGGGTGTCTTCAACGCCAAGGACGTTGCGTTCGCGCCGCCGCTGCTCATCCACGACTTGGACACGGCCATGCGAAAGCAGCTGGGCGCGGTAGTTCGCCAGAAGCCGTTGGAAACGTGTACCCCCGATGAGCAAGCGTGGCGGCAGTGCGACGCCCTCCTCAACCCACCTGCGTCGCCTTCAGACATAAACGTCCTCCCAGACCAGCTCCCGTTTGGCATGTCGAGTGTCGAGGAGCTTCGACACGTGACCACACTCTCCCAAAGCGACCATCCCGCATGGAAGGTGCTACATCAACACGGCAGCCTTGCGCCGCCTCGCGTCGTCGTCGTGCACACGCTTGCCGACATTGTTGGTGCGTGTGTGTTTTGGTGCATGAACCGCCGCACGATAATGCTGTCGATGCTCGTTGTAGCGGCGCCGGAGCACTGCACGATGCTAGTGGACTCGAACCAGCAGGCCAAACTCATGGACGTCGCCGAGTGCCGTCTTCGCGCAAGACAGAGCGCGACGCACGAGTTTCGAGTGCACACGGCGGCGCTACACTTGTCCATATCAATCGTGTTTGAGGGTACGCATCGACCGGTGTCATGGGTTCTCTCGGCGCTGACTCGAGACTGTGTCGTGGGTTCTGCAGGCAAGTTTACGAGTGTGGGGTACCAAGTCGGTCGGTTGGCAGCGATGCTGTACTACATGTCTGGGGACACACCGACGCCGCTTGGTCAAGTATTGTACAGCGACGTTGCGCTCAACACGCGCGAGTCTCTGGGGCGGGTGGTGCTGCGCCATCAGCCTGCTCAGGTCCCGATAGCCCAAGGCACATATCACATCGTTGTGGGCTGCCCGGTAAGCCGACAGGGCGTGGTGATCGTTGGATCCATTTGACGTGGTGGACAGAGCGATACCAAGTACTCGATCGTGGTCAACTGCCACCTCGTCAGCCCAGTAGGCGACTTTGTCAAGCACGCAAAGCAGCTTGCTCTGACGTACCAAGCTCGACTTCCCGTACGCCCTTGGCTAGATTCCCCGAGATCGGCCCCTGGCGCACGTCCTCTTCTGTAGGTGGGTCGACAAGAGATCGCAGCGCACTGGCAAAGCATGCGGCTAGCCGAGCGCAAACTGAACCTGGTCAAAGACGCGGCGGCGGATGCGATGGCAAAAGCCAAGGAGGCTGAGGTCACTGTCGCATCGTTGCACGAGTTGTTGCACAGCAGCGGAACCTCGTCGGAAGGGGCGACGGAGTCGTCCAACCGCACCCACATCTTGGCTAAAGTACACTTGGAACCTGGTCACAACCACTCGTTTTCAACCCCTCCATTTGTGCAGATACGCGAAGCGGATCGAATCTTCACCAAGCAGTGTAAACTCCACACGATCCGGCTTGAAGAGTGTCGAGACATTCAAAAGGCGCTAACCCACTTGGCATCGCTTCACGCTGACCTCTTGCTCGAGCGCGCACGGCTCGAGCAAGCCCTGCGCGAGTATCGCGACTTCTTGCCCGACGCAACGGGACGTGTCGAAGGACACACCGCCGGGTTCAAAGTGCGTAGTCGACAGCCATGATGCACAGGAACCCCGCACAGAGCTCCAAATGTATGTAGATTGGATACGCGTTGGGGGCTGAGTATCACGCGATCAAGACAGCCAAGATGAGGTGGAGGGACTTAAGCGCCCTCAAGAGCCAGCTCCGCACGCTCTTGACGTCTGCGCAGCGCGTGCGCCGCAAATACAAGAACGATCGACTGTCGCTCAACCCTACGGAGCGGCAGTGGGTCCTGCTCGATCGCATTCGTTTCCCCGATTTCGTACGTTGTCGACGGGGTCGTTGGTTGCGCTAGTCACCGCAAGTTGTAGTACTTGTGGGAGCAGGAAGCGGTGCACGCGTCAGATCTCCTCCATGAGTCGACGTTGGCGCCGCCCGGAATGGAGTTGACAGCGCAAGAGAAGGCTTTGCTCACTTGGACGGCGCCCGACCTCGAACGCGTCCTCACTGCGCCAGTAAACCAACTTCGAAGCAAGGAGCTCCAGTTGCGTAAAACCATGCTCGTGTTCCGAGACACCAAAGTGTCAGCGGTCCCAGCCGCGCTTCTTGCGTCGTGGCGGACCAAGGCTCCTGGTGCGTGGTGATTCCGGTACCTACTGCCAGCCAATTCACACACCAACGTTGTAGGGGATCTCAAGCCGGAGCAGCGGGAGTGGGTTGCCGTCGAGCGAGTGCTCCACCCGGACTTGTACTCGAGCAAGCTCGCACCCGCGATCCCGACGCACTGGACGAAAGAGAAACTGCTGGCTTTGGTACAACACGACCTATTGTCGTCGTGTTCTACAGCTTGACCGTAGATCCAAACACCGGAAGAGCAGATTTCGATCTTGCCCCCAAAGGAGCGCCACCTCCGGGACCTCATGTGGCATTACGACAACGCGTACTGCGTCGAAGTGGTCGCGCCCAAGACCGTCCCGGTGACCTATCACGCGATCGCCCACAACCAACAAGGGATGAAGGTTGAGGTAGACGTGGACATGCGATGCCGGCTCGTGCAGCAAGAGCTGGATCGGGTAGGCGTACGGTTGACTGACCGAGGACGTTGACTGGTTTTGTGCAGGCCATGTCGAATCCAAACGACATGATGGACTCTGCGATCTTGCACAGCGCGCCGCAGCGGTTCCCGACCCACGTGCTGCGACTGGAATTGGAGAAGGAGCTCGATCGGTTGCTGTTGGCCCAGTTGTACGAGCGAGAGGTGGCCGAATGGAACGCTCTGGCAGCATCGCTCGATATACCCGGTGACCCAACCCATCGTCTACTCGTTGGAATATCGTTCCCCTCTGACTACGTGAGAACACAGAGCACGACGGCGACAGCTCCGACTCGGATCCAGAGGCCGACATCGCGCGCCTTGCCAAAGCGGCGGCCAAGCAGCCAAGCGGGGCCAAGAAGCCCAAGCCGTCGTTTCAAAAGCAGAAACGAGCGCTCCAGGACGTACGACACACTGGTAGTTGAGATCGTGTGACACGTGGGGTCATCGTCTAGGCGCTGGTCCCCAAAACGATAGAGCAAGAGCAGCTGCAGCTCGAACGCGAGCAGCTAGGACCCAACGGGTGTATGGCGTGCAAGTCGACTCCATGCACGTGGATACCATATCTCGGCGATCGTGTGGCTACCATCGAGCACCGCGTCCACTTGCTACAAGATGAAATCGAACGCGTCAAGCGCTCGAAAGAGGTGCTTCCTTCAATTGGTTCTGGACTTACCTTGGACGGCGGCGTTGCAATAGTCGATTGTGTCGTCGACCATGTGCCTCGCGGCCGTTCGCAGCGGCGGCGGTGCTGTCGCGTTGCGCAAGATGGACCTGTTTGCCGAACTGACGCTCGAGTGTCGGGTGTGGGAGAAGCATCTGCGCCTCCGCGCCATCGACACGGAGCTCCACGCCACGTACAATTGGCCTGGCGACCACTTTGAAACAGTCGCGCTGCACGGGTTCACCCAGATGCAACAAGTACTGTCGCTCGAATGTAGTGCCTCGACCACGTGGCTGATTTGGCTATTCTTGCAGACGGAAAAGGTGAAAGCAGCGCTGACGCGGGAACAAAATTCCCTCGTCGCGCACTTGGTGTCGTACGAAGTGATGGAGGACATCCTCGAGTACATGCTGGAAGGCTGGGTGTTTGGCGAGCGCGAGTCCCATCGGAAAGTCCAGGGCTACGTGCCAAGTGTGTACACGCACGGGCCACTCACCGTCCACACGCTGCGATCGATGGCATCGTTACGTCCAGGTACGTCGCAATTCCACAAGTGAGGCATGACAGGTCGTGGCATCTTTATTTGACTAGACACTCTGGCCGCGGACGCCACGGACTTGAAGGACATCACGGATGCCAAGGCCAAGTTTGGAACGCCGTTTGAAAAGTGGACGCCGATCGAAGTCGATGCGCAAGCAGCACAGCGTCGTGGCAAAGCTGTCCAAGCAGGTACATCCGTCGCGCGCTGTGTAGATCACGACGGCGAGCGGTGGGTTGATGAAGATCGATCGTTAGGCTCGTCGGTCGCAACCGTGCTCAACGAAACGGAGCAAGCGTTGAAGTTTGGTCTCTTTTGCATGACACTCATGTACTTTCGCGGGCTCAGCTTGCTTCAAAAACAAAAGAAAGCCTGGAACACCCAAGCGAGCCACACCACCAAGGATGCGCCGATCAAGCCGACCGCATTGCAAGTCGAGCGGTCCAAACAAGCAGCGCGCCAACGGTACGTCGGGCATCGTCATGTTGGGTTGACGTCACAGTTGCCCGCCCCTAGCCAACTCGACGTGGCCAACGCCAAGGCCAAAGTCGGCCGCGACCGCAAACATCTTCGCGAGCAAGAGCGCATGGCGGCATATCGTCACAAATTGTACGCGCAACACCGCCTCGCCAAACAAGAAGCGCACGCGTGCACGCAGGTGAGATGCGTCGTTGGTCCCCAGACGCCAAGAGAAACATGATGCCCGTCGCAGATTCAACGGGTCTTTCGTGGGTTCTTGGGCCGTGGGGCGGCGGCCAAGTGGAAACTGCGACGGGCTGAGCTCGAAGCCCTAATGGCGTTGGAAGAAGCGGCAGCCACGACGATGCAGCGAGCATACCGCGGTACTGATGTCGTCCCACCAGAAATCGAGATTCATCGTTGCTCTAGGACGGCTTGGCAGACTCGCGGCCGAGGCTCGACGCATCGAGCTGGCCGAATTTATTGCGCAGATTCGAGCCGAAGAAGCTATTGTCGAGGAAGTACGTTGCCCTGGTGGCGAAGATCCCGCACGTATGGACTGAACACCGAAATTGTAGGAGGAATATTGGAAGCGACACATGTCGGAGCGACTGCGCCGCCGCATCAATGGCTTCTTGCAACGCAAGGCTGCCTAGCGATGACGTCCAAAAAGTCACAGTAAGGGAGCGGCCCTAGCTGGCTCCTTGATGACGTATTGCAGTGCAAAATGTTTCATGGCCTGTACCATGGTACCATGGTTAAGTTACTTGAGAGCGTATGCAAGGTGGCCGCCCTCTTCATTCCAGAACTCAGACAGAGTGGAGCCTGCTGCAGCCACCGTCGAGTTTTCCTGAGATTTCTCGTGATAGATTGGGCCGTTGAGCTGAGGAATGTAACGATGAAGGCACTGTCGGTGGTTGTCCATATAACCTTTGCTGCATGGCATGGGGTTTCACCAAGACTGGGTGGCTCAAGGGCAATGGCGCAGGCTCTCGCGAGCGCCGTTGGCATCGTTGAAAAATGGGTCCACATGGCCGTGTACGGGGAGTGTGTGTATGTGTGTGTGTGATAGCGAGCGACCTATGGACACATCCTTCTCAACATCTCCCATTGCGCCATGTTCATCACGGCCGCGACCTGGCTTGCATGCTGGTGGCATGGCAAGGTTGGCCTTGCCAACGTCTCGGTCACATTAAATGTCATGTGCTTGGTCGACCGAAAGAGCGAAGTATCACAGCTTTGTCACGACAGCGACGCCAGGGCAGCACACACCCCATGAATTCTACACCCACAATCCCGAACAAATCGAACGTGTGGTGCCGATACGAGCAAATATACACGTGGAACTGTGGCCGGGTCACTTTCGAGCGCAATATCTGCAGCACTGGAGCAACGCCAGCGGTCGCAGGACGTGCACATGGCATCGAACGAGAGAAGATGGTCGAAGCATGTAATGGGTCGAGTGGTAGGCTGGGGCCGCCAGAACGCTCGGCGTTTGCAGCCTCGATGTGCTTGCATGCACAGCCCTGCCAACTTTGGTCAAGGGTTACAGAGGAAACTCGTTGACGTGTAAGCTCTAACACAGCACGAAAATTTGACTCGTAGGCCTAGCCAAGATGTGGTCATTCCAGTCACCGTGGTCAGCGTCGAGCTGAGGGACTTCCTTCTCTGGATTGAAAGGTTGGTTGGCCTTATCTACCTCTACCTGCTCCATACATGTGGCAATGGACCCTACCTGCCCTATGCGACGACGCGGCACCTCGAGCCAGCCTATTTTGGCCCGCGGCCACCGCGCGCGACGGTGTTGACTACGCCCAAAGTTGAAGTGTTTCGATGTTGACAAACACATCCTACTACAGTAGTATACCAAGGTGTTTCAAACAGGTAGAAAACTCTGATCTATGCGATTTTGGTGATAAGGGCCTCGCAATTTCACCGATACATTGTCGTATATCGTACGCCAGAGTAAGTGAAGCTGCTCCGTTTGTTCGTACGTTCATTTTAAATGCGCCGAGCTCACGACCACCTCGGTCACTCCTGGTCACGACTACATTTGAGGCTACGCTTGGACATGATCGTTGCACTGATGGTGTATGAATGGAACGGTGTACCGGACGTGTTTCGAACGTGTTTCAAACAGACGTTCGCGGATTGCGAAAACATGTTGGGTGCTCCGCACTAGTCAAAACCCTAGCAGCCACACTTCCGACGCCACGATGGCCTCTGCCCGCATCAACTTGGACGCTCCGCGATGGGATCAAAGCACATTTGAAGGCCGCGCCAAGCACTTCTTTACCACGACCAACCCCATCAACGTCCTTGCAAGTGACGAAGAGCTCGACGCCGCCAAATCCCTTGTCGAGCAATACCGGTACCGCCAAAATGCCTTGCCACGTGCCTCCACTGAGTTGATGATGGCTAGCCGCGGTGCCGAGCCTGCTGGAACAACTCCAGAGCAAGTGTGGGCTGCCAAGCACTTGTACGACTCGGCCTTTCACCCGGACACTGGCGAAAAGAACTTTATCCTTGGTCGCATGTCGTTTCAAGTGCCTGGCAACATGGTCATCACGGGGTGCATGATGGCATTCTACCGGTCGACCCCGGCGGTGGTGTTCTGGCAGGTATGCTGCTCCACGCGTTCCGCCCTGCATTCACGTTGGCGTGTAGTTTATGAACCAAACGTTCAATTCGATCGTCAACTACACAAACCGCAACGCCAGCACCGGCGTCACCACCGACCAGCTCCTCCAAGCGTATGCTGCAGCGTCGACCATGTCGGTCGCGACCGCCGTCGGGCTCAACAAGTTCATCGCATCACGCCCGGCTCTCAGCGGCGGCATTGTGGGCCGCCTCGTGCCACTCATGGCCGTGGCTGCTGCCAACTGGGTCAACATCCCCATGATGCGCCAGCAAGAGCTTCTCCACGGTATTGCCGTCGAAACCGCTGGTACGTTGTCGACAGCATCGTCCTCCATTCGAGATCCATGCGAATGCACGGCGCCACCACGACGGGTGTCCATGTGCTACATCGATTGCCGAGGCTCTCACTTGCGCTTTGCTCGTCCATGTAGATGGCGAAGTGGTCGGGAAGAGTCGATCGGCCGCGCAGTCGGCGGTCCTCCAAGTCGTGCCGTCCCGTATCTTGATGGCGGTCCCTGGAATGGCCATTCCTCCTGTTGTCATTGCGGGCCTCGAAAAGGGCCCGCTGAAGCGCATGCCTGCGCTGTCTGCCCCCCTCATGGTGCTTCTCACTGGTACTGCTCAACAAGAGAGTGCTCGAAATCGACGTGTCACGGTTGAAAATTGTCTAGGTGCGTGCTTGAGCTTGTCCACGCCGCTGTGCTGCGCGCTCTTCCCTCAAAAAAGCGCGATCTCGACCACAGCGCTCGAACCGGAGATCCAAGACATCATTCGCAAGCGATTCCCGGAAACCACCGAACTGTACTACAACAAGGGTCTTTAGAGCCACCGTTGATGTCTGCGCCGTGTTCATGGCGGCACAAGGTGCTGCAATAGAGAGTGTCCATGGGCGAATGAATACTCGTGCTGCCAGTCTCCTCGACGGGCGAAATCGTGGACGTAGTTGATGAGAAGGACGAAAAAGGTCGACAAAGGGCGTTGTCTAGAGTATTGCGATCGCCATGCACCCGCCAACGCGATCGCGGGGAATCAGGCGCAGTTCCGTGCCGTGCTTCAAAAATACATTGCCGGCGGTTTGGGACGGGTTGATTCCCATGCCGTCTACGATGAAAGCGTCACGAAAGCGCATAAGGCAAGGCTATGTACCGTTCGTTATGATGGCGCTGGTAGATGACGGCACTTGGAACTCCTCGGCAACGTACTTGAGGACGGCTGTGAATGGCGCTTCTTCTGGCACGTTCACTCTACACATCACGCCGCGTCCTCACTCCTTCCTCGTACACACAGGACTACTGCATGAAACCCACATGCGGAATGGAAGCTTCGGATCCGATGCCAATGTGATCTTGAATGTCATTTTGGCGCCGGAAGTCCTACGTGAGCGACCCTGCATGAGCTCGACCTCGACGGCCGCACCAACATGATGCGGTTGCTGGATAATCTTTTTGCGAATGACTGGATTTTCCGGATATCATTGAATATTCTACAAGTTGTTGGGAAACCAAAAAATTTAAAAGTATATATTCCAAGACTGTTGTGACGGCTGTATGGAGCCATGCAGTCGCGAGGGATGAATGGAGAGGGTTGGATGGAGCTGTGCAGTCGTGAGGGGATGGTGAGGTTGTGAATAGTAGGGCGATACGAGGCGTAGTAGAGTCACAACGAAGATGGCGACAATCGCTGTATTGGGAGAAGATATGATTTCTGCGCAAATTGCAACGTGCCAATACGGGAAGACGTCTTGACGAGCAGCTACCGCAATTTAGCGTGTCCGGCAATGTGCGCATGACGCTGTGAATGTGCAAACTGTCAGAGGTCGTCAAGGGCTACAAGGATGTTAACGTTTTAATGCGTTTAGTTGGCGGGGGCTGGGAGTCGCGCAGTCGCTTGAGCGATCGATCAGAGGCGGCAGGAAGATTCGGTGAGTGAGCTGCCGCGAGTTTGGCATTGATGATTTCCAGTGCTTTGATCTCCTGTCGCAAGTGTTCTTGCCGCTCCAGGCACTCGGTTTCTTCGCCCACGTTCATAAACTCCACTGCCCGCCATTGCATTGTGCCGTGGAGAATTTGAGCGCACCTGATGTGGTTGACCTGGAGACGCCGAAATGATTGATGTCGCATCGACCGAAGTCTGTCCTTCTCGTCAGACGACATGTGAAGCTTTGGTAGAGACGCTAACAGCGTCGCTGCGCTCGGATGGCAGCGCGCTGTAGGCCGTGGCATCAGGATGGGGTGCAGCGATTCCATCGGCGTCTGCGGGAACGGAGAATTCGGTTAACATTGCAGTTATCCGAATTTCATGTTTAAACTGAAAAACGTATTTTGTCGAGATTTACGCAATGAACAATTAATGACTCATACGTCTCTCTTCTTGCAGAGGATATCACGTCCTATTCGCCAAGGAGTAGCAACATTCATAGAGTATGCGATGCTCGCGCAAGTGGGACGACACGATCGATGCCCTAGTTTTCTTCTAACAGTGTAAGGCATTGTCATCTTTTTGTAATGGACCATGTCGAATATGTGTTTAAACAATTCCCGATTAAAACACGTGAGTTTGGTGCAGCACCAAACAACACAGACACCTGTGCCAGAAAGATGGCGCTTCCGCTGACGGAAGCCGTCGTGCAGAGTTACGGCGTGGCAAAGGTGTTTGCAGGGGAAGAGGACGCGTTGATGACGTCCCTCGACTTCCATCGCACTGGAGCGTACTGTGTGACGGCACGTAGCGACGGACACATTTCCTCCCTGAACTGCACGTCAGGCTCGTACGTCGGCGCATGTGCCGGTTCTGACGGACTCATCACGCGTACACAGGTTGAACAAGATGGTTCTGTCCAAGCGATACGGAGTGGATATCGTGCGGTTCAGCCATCACCCCGACTGTCTCTTGTGGTCATCGCAGAACGAGGCGAACGATCATGCGGTTCGATACCACTCGCTCTACGACAACAAGTTCTTGCGTTACTTTACCGGCCATACCAAGAGGTAGGGTCTTCATCATGTCGGGCTTTCCTAAATCGTGTGTTCCAGGGTCACGTCGCTCACGATGCACCCGACTGCGGACGAGTTCCTGACGGCATCGATGGACACGACTGTTCGCATGTGGGATATTCGCTGTCAAAGCGCGACGGTATGACCCCGCCATTCCAATCCACGCACGGAAGACTTGACATGCGTTGTAGGGACTGCTGAATTGCGGTGACGCGAGCACGGCAGTGTGTGCCGCGTACGACAGCGATGGGCTCGTGTTTGGTGTGTACACGGGTGATTCCCTCGTACGCATGTACGACGCCCGAAACTTTAATGACGGTATGTCACGCCTTGACGCATGTTGCTCATGGTGCGGCAGGGCCATTTGCAAAGTTCTCCCTACAGGACGACAGCATCTCGTCGGCGTTGCGACCCCTGCTGCAATCAAGAGGCTTCAAGGCCAAGTTGGATGTGCATGCCATCCAGTTTAGCGCAGACCAACAGCACATTCTCCTCAACACGACAGCCGGTGTCCTCGTCCAGCTCGACGCGTTTGAAGGCAAACTGGTACGTCCTTTGCGCGACCGGCAACGTCATCGGCATATGTGTCCACATCTATTCGCGTAAAACAACTCCTAGACTCGTATTTTCGCCAGCCACAGCAACCCTGCGGGCAAAAAGCTGGGGGCGAGCTACTCCCCCGACGGCACGTACATAGCCTGCGGTGAGCCCAATGCACGTCAACACGGCGCTTGATGAAGCATGGCCATTATTATTTTAGGGGCGGAGGACGGAAGCTTGACCATTTACAATGCCAACACGGGCGCGGTCACGTCGCCGGCAAAATCTGCCCACATCGGACCAGTCGTGGACGTCCAGTGGAACCCACAACGCCATTTGATCGGGAGTGTGCATGCCAATACGATTTTCTGGCTGCCGGCGTCGACGTCGTCGTAGCCTTCGCTGTGTGCTAGCAGAGATCGAGGTGCATTTGCGCTAATGAGAACATTCTGCTTGGTGGATTTGTCCATTGTGTGTGTGGATCTTTCGATGGAATATGTTATGCTCGTACTACAAAAAGTACTTCAGTCACCGTTTTACGAGGGAGGAATTCAACAATCGAATAAAAGTATTGTCCTTTATTTTCATGAATGCCTGCAAATTTCGAAATATCAAAACAGATAAATACAACACCTCGCCTCACACTACACCACACCAGACGACAACGTGGACTTGGCCGCGGAGGAGTCTCGAGTGTGGTCGTCCCGTGCGGCAGGAGCCATGGCTGGCGGCATGTAGCGGAGGTGACAGAGTTCACTGATGCGTGGAGGTGGGACGTGCTTTTCCTCCTGGAATGTTCTCCACGCGTCGAGCCGTATCGCCAAGGGATTGTTGCTCGTGTCCCGTTGGCGCTGCGCTCGTCCGTTGCTTTGGCTGGCAATCACAAGCAAGTTGGAAGTTGTGTCATGGTCCGTGATATTGAACCATCTGGTTAGGGTAGAATACCACCACTTGGGACGCTTCGTGCCAAGGCCGACCAGGACTGTGATGAACGCGACGAGAATGAAACCTGACAGGCCAAGAACGAGGTACCGGTTGAAGGACAGCAAGTTTGCTTGCACGTCGTTGAACTTTTCTTGGTAGCTGGGAGGATAAGTGTACGCCACGCTCGGCTTGGTCATGTTGTCCATGGCGGCACGGCGAAGGCGGACAAGGATGGAAAGCCAAAATGCACGAGCCAATCATCATTAGAATTCCTTCGCAAATAATATTTGATTTTTTTATTTACACTGTTAGCGTGGACTCGGTGGTAGTAAGATAATATATACCAGAAGAATGACTCGGAATGAATGAGGTATGACGTTTCAAGCGGTTCAGAAGAAATCTGTGAATCTAGTTTTCTGCCTTACCAGCCAAGAAAATTGCCCTGAAACGATCTTCGTTCAGGCATTTTCATTTACTGTCGTTTTATCATTTTCGTTGCTCCTGGCTGAGTTTCGGGTTCTGACCAGTCGTCACACTATTTTTTCCTGAATGCATTTAATTCAATGTTAGGGAACATAAAACGTTTAACCCATGAGATATATTCCAAGTGAAAACCAACGACGACTGCCCTACCACACTCTCGCCATCGCAGTCGTCGGTCGACTTTCTCGTCGGGCACTGTTGTGGGTAATAATCGCCACGATGTCAGTAGTGCGGGAATACGACGACAAACAGGGAACATTCTAACGTAGTCTCTCAGTGATCAGCCGACCTCTCAGTGATCCGTCGAGCTCAATCACCCAATAGAATCGCAAGAAACATGTGATTGGATGAAATACATTACTCCCGTTCTGGGAGGCTCAGCACACAACTGAAAACGATTGGATAGAACATTTTCAGACAAATGTATTGGCCGACAAAGATGTCGTTCGTCAACATATCACAGGTTTAGCGCAATAACATGACGCTATTGGTAAAAATACGTTAGTACTTTCATATCCAATATTGTCAAAGATGCCGCCGAAGCCCTCGGGTGCTGCAGTGTCGAAGCAGACGATAGAAGATTCGTTCCATGGTACGGCAACGAGGCGAGCCTACGCAATATTCCAAAAACAGTTCGAGTCATACTTGCGCGTCTATAAAGGAGGTATCGCACCTGAGTCTTCTACAACTGCTGAGTGTACGGACTTCTTTCACTACTTGTATACCAGCGGCAAAAAAGCCCGCACGATTGACCTCTCAGAATCTGCACTTGTGGCATACTTCAACAGCAAGAACCTGTCACCAAACCCAGCACAGAAGGTCAGTGCCCGCCGGTTCATAGTTGGCCTACAAAAGCTCAACAAGAAATACACCGTTGACGAAGAAAAGAAGGCACATCCACTTACAGATCACGAGCTCTCTTCCCTAATGAATGGCCTCTCTGGTTTGCACCCTTTCGTTGGCTCTCTTCTTCAACTCTTGCTTGCTGCTGGATTTCTTGGCTGCTTTCGAATCAGCGAGGTGCTCAACCTACTCAGCAATGACGTCCAATTGGTCTCAGATGACAGTGGCCGCTACCTGTCAGTGCGTCTTCGGTGGCACAAACAAGCAAACGTCGCTGAAGACTATCAGATATGCCACCTAGTGGACGAGAAGACCTTTCCATGTCTGCGAGTGTGTGTGCTTTATGAAGAATACCTGACTGCCTTGCGCGTCTCTGGTGTCAACCTTATCGGTTCAGCGTTCGTGTTTCCAAGCTTCGTGCTCCTACAAGGTGGTGTTCCGCGAGTTGACTGGCAGCGTCCACTTGAACAAGCGACCCTACGAAAGCTGCTTGGTGATATTGTCGAAGCTACACCCAACTTACCAATTGGATTCACATTTCACAGCCTCCGACGGGGAGGTGCCTTTTACCGCGTCTTAGAATCAACAGAGCGTCGCTTCAATTTCCGGGAGCTGATGGCGTGGTGCAGATGGTCGGATGCCAAGACCTGCTGCGAGTACCTGGTTACCCAAAGCATCAGCAATGAAATAATCCGCGTAATCTGCTTCGTACCGGAAGCTCAATGCTAAGCCATGGCATCGTTGGCGGTGGGTCTGGGACGTCTCTGAGCGTGGAGGCGCTTGGTGCGGAAGTGGCAAAGTTTCTACAGGAGAGCGTTCAGTCTCCTGTAAATACTCCTCGAGCCCCGACCAAGCAGCTGAAGATGGATGCCTTCAATGCGCAGAAGACGATTCCGACTGCTCGGTCGGGGCTCGAGGCGTGGCAACAATGGTTTGTTGCAGCCCCTGACGGGGGATTGGTGTGTTCTCAAGGACTACACGAAGGATATGATTCGTTGCGATCGCAAAAGGTACTCCGAGCGTCTTAGATTGGGGATGGCATTCTCCAAGTACTCGTCGTACGAACAGTTCGAATCAGCGTACGAGGCTTTACCCAATCGTATGTCCGATTTCTACAAGAGGTTCGCCGTAGGAAGAAATTGAATACAATGTGATTTGGACCAGGAGCGAAGCGCCGAGCCCCGCAGGGCCGAAAATTTTCTGTTTCTATTTCTTTGAAGCTGTTTTTCGCGTGAAGCTGTTTTTCGTGAGAACTTGAAGGAATTGGAGTGATTTGTGTGTTGGTAACTGTGAAGCTTGGCGTCAGCTTTGTTTGGCAAAATCTCAAAAATGCTCTATTGGATACAATTTGACTAATAACATCGTTGTCGGATGAAAATGTCGGATTTCCAAAGTTATCCAAACTTAATGTATGATGGGAAATACATTAGAATTCAAAGGCTCAACGTGATACTGGTACATAACCTCGAAAAAGTTCAATTCTCCTCTCGTACATCTCAACCTTCAAGATACTATTCTTGTACAAAAGTAGAAAACCTCTACAAGATGATATGTTTGAAGGCTTCAACCTTCATATTCCTCTTCGTTTAGTCCAGTATAAATTCGTCTAATCATTGAGAGTCCTGTTTGCGTTGGCATTTTCAGCATTTTCTTGCTCCTTTTGGAACTGTTGAAATTAATAAGAGAACAACTCATTGTGTTCAGCATGTCTCGAGGAATTTCAACAAATTCCTCATTTCTTTTGGTTTTAAAAATTACGCGAGATACACTCACGTATGTTTACCGTTCTTTTGTTAAGTGGGAACTTTGGAAACCTCTATAATACGTATTTTTCACAAATACATTTTCACAAGAACCTCAGCAAGGCGAAACAACCTTAAAATTAAATAAATATCGAGTTTGAAAGAATATTTTGAAGTGCTTTGCGCGGGATTTTATACCATGGCACGCAGCGGTAATCGCAAAGCAACAGGACGTCCATCTATCAAGAAAACAGCTCGAACGACACCATTGTACACAACAGCCACGTTCACCATGTCACACAAGCTTTGGATTATGAACGCTGCAAGAGACAACTCAAATAACTACTCATCGGAAAACCAAGGCCAAGGTGTACTGCCGGTAGTCGGCCCAGCAAAACCAATAGGCGAGGCCCGAGGGCGGTCCCAAAGGCTACTGGGAGCGCGGGCCATTTGACTGTAACACCCCCTGTTGACCGACTTCCGTACAGTAATGCCAATTCACACTCATATGTAAACATGAGCAGCAGCCATTATCTGGATCATATCCGGATGGGGTCCATGGGTCAAATCGGAAAGTGAGAAATGATTCCAACACGAATATTGTGTTATTTCTACGTCATCTATTCCACATGCTATTTCAAGGCTCCGAAAATGAATCAACACTCTTGAAAGGTATTTACTTTTAAACTGTATGACCTATATCTGCTCCTTGAATTGAAACAAGCCCATAATTTTCCTTTTTTACTTATACTCTTTGTAAATCAATAATCAATTTCGTTGCAATGCAATGAAATTATGAAGGTTTTACTCAACTTCAACTACTGATGTCCCCCCGACTTGGACACGGGTCAAAACCGATAATTTTTACTTTGACGTGAATAAGATGTCAAAGGTGATTTCGAAATTTCAAACTTTGCACTCCAGGGGTAGACGTTTTGAGCACCATCAACTTCAGCGATGAAATTGCGTATGACGATGTCGGACAAGAGCGAGCTGCATGCAGA